TTGTTTTCTTTGCTGTGCAGAAGTTTTTTGTTTGATGCAGTCACATTTGTCTATTTTTCTTTTGTTGCCTGTGCTTTTGGTTACTATCCAAAAAGTTATTGCCCAGACCATTGTTAAGAAGCTGTTTTCCTATGTTTTCTTGTAGTAGTTTTACAGTTTCAGGTCTCACATTTAAGTCATTAATCCATTTTGAGCTGATTTTTGTATATGGTGTGAGAAAAGGATCCAGTTTCATTCTTCTGCATGTGGATATACAGTTTTCCCAACACCATTTATTGAAGAGACTATCCTTTCCCCACTGTGTGTTCTTGGCACCTTTGTCAAAGATCAGTTGAACATAAATCAGTGGATTTATTTCTGGGCTCTGTATTCTGTTCCATTGGTCTATATGTCTTTATGCTAGTACCATACTATTTTGATTACTATAACTTTGTAATACATTTTGAAATCAGTCAGTGTGATGCCTTCAGCATTGTTCTTGTTACTCAAGATTGCTTTAAGGTCTTTGTGGTACCATGTGAATTTAGGATTGTTCTAGTTCTGTGAAAAATGCCACTGGGATTTTGATAGGGATTACACTGAATGATATGGATAGAATGGACATTTTAACAATGTTAATTCTTCCAATCCATGAATACAGCTTATCTCTCCATTTATTTGTGTCTTCTTTAATTTCTTTCATCAGTGTTTTTGTCGTTTTCATTGTATAGTTCTTCCTTCTCCTTGGTAAAATTTATTCCAAAGTTTTAAAAATATTTATTTATTTATTTTGGCTGCACTGGGTCTTAGTTGCAGCATGCGGGATCTTCGTTGTGGCATGCAGGATCTTTAGTTGTGGTGCGTGGACTTCTTAGTTGCAGCATGTGAACTTTTAGTTGCGGCATGCATGCGGGATCTAGTTCCCTGACCAGGGATCAGACCTGGGCCCCCTGCATTGGGAGTGCAGAGTCTTATCTGCTGGACCACCAGGGAGGTTCCTGTTGTTTTTTTTATGCTATTGAAAATAGAATTGTTTTCTTTATTTCTCTTTCAGATATTTTGTTATTGTATAAGAAATGCCACTAATTTTTATATGTTGATTTTGTCTTGCAACTTTACTGAATTTGTTTATTAGGTTTTAAAAAATATTTTTTTAATTTATTTATTTGGTTGTACCAGGTCTTAGTTGCGGCTGGTGGGCTCCTTAGTTGTGGCATGGGAACTCTTAGTTGCGGCATGCTTGTGGGGTCTAGTTCCCTGACCACGGTTTGAACCCGGGCCTCCTGCATTGAAAGTGTGGAGTCTTAACCACTGCACCACCAGGGAAGTCCCATGAATTTATTAGTTTTAATAGTTTCTTGGAGGAGTCTTTAGTGTTTTCTATATATAACATCATGTCATCTCTGAACAGAGACAATTTTACTTTTCCCTTTCCAATTTGGATACCTGTTATTTCTCTTTCTTGTCTGATTGCTCTGGCTAGAACTTCTAGTACTGTGTTGAATAGTGAGAGTAGGCATCCTTGCCTTGTTCCTGATCTTAGGGGGAAAGTTTACACCTTTTCACTGTTGAGTATGATGTTAGCTGTGGACTTGTCATATTACAGCCTGTATCATGCTGAGGTACATTCCTTCCATACCTGATCTGTTGAGCGTCTTTATCATGAAAGGATGTTGTATTTGTCAAATGCCTTTTCTGCATTTACTGAGATAATCATAGGATTTTTTCCTTCACTTTGTTAATGTGGTGTATCACATTTATTGATTTACGTATGTTGAACCATCCTTGCATCCCAGGGATAAATTTTACTTGATCATGGTGTATGAGCCTTTTAATGTGCTGTTGAATTTGGTTTGCTAGTATTTTGTTGAGGATTTTTGCATCTTTGTTCATCAGGGATATTGGCTTGTAATTTTCTTTTCTTGTAGTGTCCTTATAGGCTTGGTATCAGGATGATTCTGGCCTTGTAGAATAAGTTTGGAAGTGTTCCCTCCTCTTCAATTTTTTGGAAGAGTTTGAGAAACACTGGTGTTAATTTTTCCTTAACTGTTTGAATACTGATTCAGTCTCCTTATTCAGATTTTCTGTTTCTTCAGATTGAGTCTTGGTAAGTTATATGTTTCTAGGAATTTGTCCATTTCTTCTAGGTACTCCAACCTGCATTTAATGTTATATTGTTATTACTTTGCAGTATTAGGGGATAGTGGTGTGAAAATGGCTTTCACCTCAGATCTGTGTTGAAATCCCAGCTTTACCACTTAGAGTGTCCATAGTCTTGGGTAGCGTTTCATCTCTGAACTTGTGTCTTCATCCCTGTCATGGGGATACTGCTTTTAACCACACTGGGCTGAGTAAGGATTAGACATCATAGGAAAGCCCTTGGCACATAACCCAGTTCTTGGTAAGTGCTGAAAACAGGGAGTTGTGATGCTGTTGTGATTGTTTAAAATATTCAAAAACATGTTTTTAATAGCATTGTATTATCAAGTGAAATGCTATACAAAAGTGAAAAAAAAAACAATAAAGGAATAGAGTTTGTATGGAAAAAAATCACTGTTATAAGGTTACAATTGAAACATTTTCCCCCCCAAACCTAGAAAATAGACATTGTGGTGGACTATGTGATATAAAAATCGATTAACAGGCTTCCATTTTTGCTACACAGCATCTAAATGCGTGATAAATTAGAACAAACATACTTTTCAAAATTTAAACTTATTGAAGTATAATATACATGCTAAAGAAAATACTCATTGTAAGCATACAACTCAATGAATTTCCACTGTGTAAGAATACTTGTGCAACCAGCAACAATGTTACCAAGCATTTCCAGAAGCTCCTAAAGGCCGCATCCCCCAAGTGACTGGAAGGTCTCTCCCTACCAAGAATAACCAACCACCATCCTGAGCTCTATTGCCTTTAGCGTATTTCCCCCATCGTTTGAATTTGAATTTGTTATACCTATGGGGAATATGGCTTGTTTTGCTTAGTGTTATGTCTGTGAGATCCATCCACGTTGCGTGGGGCAGGAATTTTTTCATTTTCCTTCATTGTCCCTCTGTAGCCCTTCTCATCTATGGATTTTGCCGGAGTATTAAGCCCTAAAGTCCAAAGTGATCCATCATATGTAGCTGAATTAATTTCTGTCCTGTGAGTCTAGGATGGTAGTAGCCTTGTAATACCTTCGGGAGAACTGAGAAGATGCCCACTCAAATCATGTTCCGTGGAGGTTCATCTCTCGTAGAGTCCCAGGAAAGACTGGGAGCTTTAGCTTTTCTGGTTTTTTGTCCCCCCGCACACCCCCCCCGCCCCCGGTACAGTGAGGTCGGGCCTCTCACTGTTGTGGCCTCTCCTGTTGCGGACGTGCAGGCTCAGCGGCCATGGCTCACGGGCCCAGCCGCTCCGTGGCATGTGGGATCTTCCCAGACCGGGGCATGAACCGGCAGAGTCTCAACCACTGCACCACCAGGGAAGCCCAGCTTTTCTGGTTTTTGTGGTCTAGCAGCTCTCCAGTGTCTTCTAGCAGATGACTTCTGGAAGATAACAGTTAAGTTATCTTATCTGGCTTTTTTTTTTTTTCTCCCGCGGAGTGCTGGTTTGCTGCAAGCTCCTCCATCCCACCTGGAGGTGGAAGGAAGTCTAGCAAATGCATAGCTGGGCTCCTAGAAAGAGGAGGGAAAGTCCCACGGCCAGATAAAGGGGAGAGGGAGAGAGGGAGCTGAAACCCCAGAGGCAAAATAACACAAGCCAGGGCTGCCCCAAGGCGTAGAAATCTGGACCCAGAGCCTTGGATTTTGAGCAGCCGGTGAGGGAGAGCAGGAGCCAAAGCCCCAGACCCAGGCCGGGAGGGCCGCCGGGACTGTGTCCCTCTGCTCGGCTCGTAACAGCAGCCTCTCCAGAGCTCTGTTCCTCGAGTGAAAGAGTGGGCTAGGAAATAGAGCCCTCCTAACGGCAGTAAAACGTGTCTTAGCTATGGGAGGAGTCAGTTTGATTTTTCTGCTGAAGATCTGATCCTTAGCCTCTCATCACAGGCGTTTGGTGTTTGCAATTAGACTACCTCTTGAAGTCCAGAAGCTCCACGTCTAGAAATAAAAAGTTACCCCTCACACAAAGAAACAAACTGCTAGGAAAGTCAGCAGAGATGACCAAGAACAGAATTAGGGGTTTCAGAGCTCCTCAGTATGTTGTAAGAGAGCTATATTTAAAATGAAAGAAACAGCGGATAGAGTTCTAAAACATGAGCAAGAAACAAACACTACCATTAATGGCTCTGCGGATTTGAGGAAGAACCAAATCCGAGTTTTAGAAAAGTGCTTAGCATAATGCCTTGCATTCAGGAGCTGCTTAATAACTGTGCACATTTGGGCAAATAATTCTCAATATAAAACTCATGACTTTGCACAATGTGAAGCGTCTTTGTGGAACCTCAACTTTAGAAGTACTCACTAATATCATTGTTCCATTGGCCCTAAAATTTGTTGACTGAGTTGACATTGGAATCACCATTTTGAGATAGGTTCAAGTAACGTTCAGATAGTCCTGTTGTCCTGCAGTGGGAGGAGCCGCTTACACTAAAGCGCCTCAGAAGGTTTATATAAATGAGCGCATTCTTGGAGCAGCTTTGGCCTCTTCCTCCCGCCTCCATGTTTTGAGTGCCTACTGGATGCCAGGCCTTGTACTTGAAGGAAGCATGGGAGGATGACTAAAACACTGTTCCTCCTTTCCTGGAATCCACATTCCACAGGCCATCGAGTCTGCCCCCGGGACCCTTACAAATACACTGGAATGAATCGAATCTATTGTGTGTTTCCTTCTGCAAAATTGTTGCTATATTATGAGTATCTGATGAGTCTTCTTCAGCTTTTGGAACAAGAACACAGCTGTCTGTATTACTGAATATATAGAAACGTTGGTTAGGTAGCAGGGAACTAGGTAACCATAGTTTTCCAAGCAAATGAATATGTTAACTAATCAAGTTAACTTCTCCATGTTACTAATTCCACCACTGCAAATCCTTTTAGGATGATGTGAGGCATAAGGTTCATCTGAACACCTTTGGATTCTTCAAGAATGGGTACATGATGGTGAATGTCAGTAGCCTTTCAGTGAGTGAGCCTCAAGGAGCCACAGACAAGGACGCAACTGTAAGTGCCTTTCCAGGAGATCTTTTCTGTTGCTTAGGTGAAAGCTTCACCCCATACTTAAATATGAAGTATCAGAATGTAGAGAAAATTAAACTTGTGAGCGGGCGTCAGATAGTTTTATTCTTAGCAGTTAAGTTGTAATTCTTGAATAATTTTAGTAACAACTGATCCTTCTTACAAAATGAATGCTAAGGAAACTAAGAGGTGGCCAGACCAAAAGAGTCACCTTTCTGCTCTTGGAGTAATGAAGGTAAGGGCGCCCGGGCATCATGTGGTTATTTACTTCCATTGTTTTTACCTCCTCTTAGATTGGATTCAGCCTAGACCGCACAAAGAATGATGGATTTTCTTCTTATCTGGTGAGCGTCAAATGCGTGACCTGATCACTCCCTTCACTCGAACCCAAGACACTGGGTGGAAACACCCTGCTTCCGTCAGTGCTGTTTTCTTGAGGTGGTAGCAGCTTTGACTTGCAAGCATCTCTGAGCACCCACAGTTGTGTTATTTGAATGGAGTCTGGGCCACTTATTTGCTTAGTTCCTGAAAACGTTTTGTTCTTACTCTAGTGTGAATGAATAAGGTGGTGTGTAATTGGGTCTTCCTTTCTCAGGATGAAGATGTGAATTACTGTATTTTAAAGAAACAGTCTGCCTCTGTCACCCTTCTAATCCTAGACATCTCCAGAAGTGAGTAAGTAATTCTACTAATCCTTCAGTTCAATCCTAGAGTAAAGTTAGGGGGAATTTGGTAGTTAAGTTACCATTTATTGTCTGCCACATGCCAAATGTTTTGCTGAGTGCTGGAGATTAAAAACAAGATGAGGAAGACAGAGGTCCAGTCCTGGAGGAGCTTCTTGATGGATGAGGGAGACAGAAGAGCAATACAAACGATCACAGCAAACTAGAGAAGTAGTAGAGCAGAGAGACTGAGGATTGCAGAAGAGAAGGGAAAGCTTCAGAGAAGTGTTGGTGCGACCACGCTTCTCATGAATAGCCTTTACAGATGAGTAAGAAAGGGAAGAGCATTTTAGGCAAAGGGAACGTGATATACAAAGGCAGAGTGGTGTGAAATAGCATGGTGTGTTCAGTGAGGTGAGTGCGTTGTCTGCATCCAGCTGAGGGGAAGAGAGGAAGGCTCCTCCCCGTTCAGTGCTAGACACGTGCCCCTTGGTACGAGTGATGGTGCCAGCTGAGGTTGCGTGTCCACTCAGGCATGGAAACTTGCTGGTTCCTCCTCAGGCGGGATGGGGCAAACAAAATTGCGGTCTGGTAAGCAGGGAGAAGGGAGGAAATGCATATTAGGCGGGCTACTAATAATGCTCACTGCCCCTCGCGTGCTCCCCACGGCTTCACTTTAACATCTTACTGGGTTTTTTTTTACCTCTTGTTCCTTTTCCCTTGTACACCAATTTGTTGAACACATTGCACATACTTAGGGGGGAATGTGTACCTCAGAATTGTATGGTTGCTACAAACTTAAGCTTTAGAGTGAGACTGCCCAGGTCCTCGCCCAGCTGCTCACTGGCTTACTACTCTTGGGCAGGTTCTTTAACCTTTCTGAGCTTTCATTTCAACATCTGTAAAATGCGGACAATAGAATCTGCATCATAGGACATCATGGGACTGCATGAGATGATGGATTTAGAGCTGGAAACAACACCTAACTTAGAACACTTACTGGCCATAAGCATTACTTTGAACTCTTTTTCTTCTGTCTTGTTTGAATATAGAGTGCGAATAAGATCTCCACCAGAAGCTGGTACCCAGTTACCAAAGATCATCTTCAGCAAGGATGAGAAAGTCCTTGGTCAGAGCCAGGAGCCTGGCGTTAATGCTGTTTCAGCAGGGAGCCAGACTCAGAAAAAACAAGGTAAACTGTGAGGCAGAAGCGAGCATTTTCTTCACTACCCTGATCTGTAGATTCTGTTTTGTTCCTGAGTAAAAACACATACAATCTTAGCATTATTTTATTTTTGAGGTGATATAAAAATATGTAACAAAGAAAAATGTGGAAAATATGGGAGAAGAAACGTCATTTCTCCTTACTCCCTGTGTTAGAATTTTAGTAATTTATATTTCCTTCTAAACTTGTTTCCTAAGTCTAGAATATTTGATTTTTAAAACTCATACACGTTTATAATTTTATAAGCATCCCTGTTCACTCAACTTTAAGTTATTTCATACTTATCAGATATCCCATTAAATGGATACTGTAATTTGCTCAGCCTTTCCCCTTAAAGAGACATATTTCAACCTTGATGCTATTATATTAAAACATTGCTACATCAGACATTGTTATTTGTAGATTTTTTTTCATATGTAGAACTTTCTTTAGGATGGGTTCCCAGAATTGGAATTTCTGGTTCAAAGGATATGAATACTTTTGAGAATATTGATACATATTTTCATTCCTCTCCACATGAGTGGTGTGAATTTATACTCCTATTGGGAAATATATAAGAATAGTGCCCACGTCACCATGTCCTAGACAATACTGGGTTTTTGGTTTTGTTTTGTTTTTTAAATTCTAAAGTGAAAGGCAAAAAGGTAGTCTTGATTTTGAAGTCACTTTTTTTTTTAAATTAATTAATTTATATTTGGCTGTGTTGGGTCTTCATTTCTGTGTGAGGGCTTTCTCTAGTTGTGGCAAGCGGGGGCCATTCTTCATTGCGGTGCACAGGCCTCTCACTGTTGCGGCCTCTCTTGTTGCAGAGCACAGGCCCCAGACGCGCAGGCTCAGTAGTTGTGGCTCACGGGCCTAGTTGCTCCGCGGCATGTGGGATCCTCCCAGACCAGGGCTCGACCCCGTGGCCCCTGCATTGGCAGGCAGATTCTCAACCACTGCGCTACCAGGGAAGCCCTGAAGTCACTCTTATTACTGAGGCTGCTCTTTTCCTCCGTATGTTGATTAACCAATTTATATTTGTCACCTCTTTCATTAACCGTTAGGTTTATCTAATAATTTATATGAGTGCTTTAAAGATAACTATTTATTGTATTATTTATGTGTCTTTTTCTCGGTTTGTCAAAATTCTAACCCAGATTAAAAGATGTGCAGAAATGTTACATTTGTGTGATGATGTAGTTTCACGTATGTGCACCATCTCCTCCTCGTCTAGGTTCCTCAGGCTCACATAACCATTCCCTGGGCAGAAAATCTTCTTTTCCTTATTTTTTTCTGAAACTCTCTCCCTTCCTGCAGGGAATTTGAGATGCTGTCTTCCTCACGAAGAGGGTCTTAAGTAAAAATAAGACACAGCTGCCCTCTCTGTTCATTGAAAGAAGTCATTAGCAATTTCTACACTCCTTGCTGTGGAAATAAAAATAGTATGCTTTATGCTAATATTATTTCCTATTTTTCCATGTATATAAATAAATCTCATGTATTAGATATATATGTATTTTAAACAATGATCTGTTTTCAAATGTAATTACTTAGAAGATAAGGAAGTCATTCCACGTGGTATCTCTGACAGTAACATGCACTAGGTTATTTAGAGATGATTTCCCTCGTCTGTACTGAATATTATCATTTATTAGATTGCATTTATAATAGAACAGTTTGCCATTTGCAGCTTCTACAGCTCAGGAGTGCTTGGGGTTCTAAGCAGATGGCATTTCACAAGATGGCACGTGGCCTCACCGTTTTGATTGTTTCAATTATTTGATATTAGACGAGCTAGAGTCTCATAAAATGATACTGTAATATACATATGAGCTGAATCATGCAATAATAACTCTTAAATGGTTCTGCTTCTAGACAGTGGAAAGTCTGAAAGAAGTACAGTGGATTCAAAGGTAAGAAATAACCTGACTTAAGCTCTCAGCTTTCCTGGGTGTAATATGTTTGTCTGTGTATGTGTGTGCGTATAGGAATGTATATACATATGTATATATGTACACACACAGGTGCGCACACATACATCTGCATGCCTGATCTACAGGGGGTTGCCTTCTGTTTGGGGAGATAACTTAGGCACTCGGAAACAATTTCAAAGTAAGACTGAGTGCTGAGCTATACAGCACTTACATGATAGAGGCTCAGATAGTGAGAGGAGAGGGAAGTGGGCTCTCGGAGAGCCCTCTGGAGAGAGGCGTCACCAGGGCTTGAAGTTTGGTAGATTGGGGAAGAAGAGAGCGAAGGAGGTGAAGGCCATCATGAGCAAAGACCGGAAGTGGAGATGAGCATGGCAGGTGCTGGGCACTGGCCTATTGGAAGTAAAAGCTACCTATTTGGGAGCAGAGAGAGGTGTCTTAGTTAACAGAGGGCTGGAAAGTTGAAGGCATCGATGCACAGAAAACAGGAAGTCATCGTGTGTTCTTGACAAGGATGGAATGTGATGCAGAAGGTGTTAAGGGAAGGTCATAGTTCTGAAGGAATGTGCAGGGTAGCCTTGGAGAGGGAGACAGTGAAACTAGAGGGACCAGGAGGAATGCTGTTGTGATAATACAGGTTTAGGGTGATGAGGATCTGAACTAGAGCAGAGCTTTGCAATCAGTCTGGGAGGTCATTTGGGGCTGGTGGGAGGGTAGGAGAAGAGGTAGATTTTTCCCCCCCCCCCAGAGGTGTAGGAAGTAGAAATAGCAGAAGGAAAAACGGGAAAGTTTTGGTTTGGGATATCTTGATTTTTCAGTGATGGGACATCCAAATGGCGGTATTTTATTTTGTTTTAACAGCTTTATTGAAGCATAATTGATATATAATAAACTGCACATATTTAAAGTGACAATTGGATAAGTTTTGGCTTGTGTGTATACCTATGAAACCACCACCACAACAAGAGAGTGAACATGTCCATCACCCCAAAGGTTTCTCCTGTCCCTTTGTCACCTTCCTGTCCCTAAGTAACAACTGATCTGTAACTATAGATTAGTTTTACAGAAGCTGCTATAAATGAATTATGCAATACCTACTCTTTTTTGTCTTCTCTCATTTAGCGTAATTATTTTAGGTTCGCCCATGTTGTTCCATGGGTCAGTAGTTCCTTCTTTTTGTTACTTACCTTCAGTCTGTCGTACTGGTGGCAGTTTGTAGATCATTTGAAGTCGGGGATAGAGCCCAGGTGCTGTGTCAGGGTGTGACCTGAGTTGGCATCCGTTGTCTAGCGGAAGCTTTAAGACTAGAGAGGTGTTCAGTAGTGAATATGGGGTATTGAAGAGACAAGAGGTAGATGAGAAAAGGAAATGGGTAAAGAATTACCATTCTCTGTGAAAGGTGATTTCATACATCTTGAAAAAATGGTGAATTTCTTTTTCAGTGAGCTTTTGAAGAAAGCTTGGGTTTAAGAAAAGCATGTTCTGGAGTTTTAAAATTTTTATTTTTATTAGCATGCTTTTTCCACCAGTCTCATTCTAAAATAGGTCGTTAATGTCTTTTTTAGGCAACAGGAGAGAAATCCTTTTCTGTTCGTAATAATGATGGGGCAGTTTCATTTCAGGTATGTATTCTCTTTCAGTCAAGCTTCGTAGAATTTCTCTCTACCATGTAAAAGGGTGAATTTTAATAGAAATTTTGAATTGAGGAGTAGAAATGTAGGTATGCTATGTGTCAGTCACTTGAATACAGTAGCTCTCTCCATAACAAACCTACAAGGTGGGTATTGTTACCCACCACTTAGCAAATCATAAATCTCTGAGAGAGAATAACTCAGAGTGTTATGTTCAGTGTGAGTGAGAAGGCCCATATTCCAACCCAGTTCTCCCTGGCTGTCCCCACACCTCTGCCTCTCCAATCCCATGCTGCCTCCCACTCAGAGTGTGTCAGAAACACAAACTTCTGTACCTGAAAGGACCATTGTCATCTTCTAGGGTGATGTTGTCATTTCAGAGATGAGTTCACTGAGCCTCAGAGGCCTGACTGACCTGCTCAGCTGTCACCATTGTTAACTGCACGTGAGTGTTTATGGCAGCATCACAGCCCATGTGTGGGGTCCGGGGGAGGACACTGGACTGGATCTCAGAGCACATGTGCTAGCTGGTGACCTTGGACAGCTCACTCAGCTTCTGAACCTCGCTCTTGAATGATCTGAAAATGGAAAATGAGGGCACGTGTCTCACAGGGTTGTTAGGTGTATCATTCTTCAAAAATAAAAGTGCTTTGTAAAGCACTATACAAATAATCTTTCATCATTAATTTGTAAGGATCACTGTCTCTTTCCTAACCAGTTTTCATTAATTGAGGTATAATTTGCTTAGAGGGAAATGCCCAGGTCTTACGTGTATGGTTCAGTCAATTCTGACAACTGCATGCACCCACATAACCCACTCTCAAGATTCTCTGTATTTTTACCATCTCCGAAAGTCCCCCACCCCTGCCTCTGCTATTCTGATTTCTTTCACCATAGATTCTTTTGCCTATCTAACAATTTTTATATTTTCTTTTAAGTTTAGTGACCATCGGTATTAACAGCTAACTGAGAGCTTTTGGGGTGCTCATCTGCTCTGAATCCTCAACAGCTTCCCTTCTGTCTCCGAGTAAAAGCCCAAGTCCTTCCACGTGGTCTGCAAACCTGCATGGTCCAGCTGCTGTCAGCTTTTTCACCTCAGCTCCTGTTTCCTCCCCACCCCCTGCTTATTACTCTCTTCCAGCTACACAGGCCACCTTGCTGCTGGTAGAAAAGATCAGGCCTTGGGCTCTGCTCTAGCTGTACCTGCTGGAGGGACATTCATCCCTCAGAATCTGTGTGATCAATTTCTTCCTCCTTCAAGTCTCTGCTCAAATGTCACCTTTTCAACAAAGCTTCCTCCAATCGCCCTGTTTTAAATGCAGCACCCCCCGCCCCACCCTGGCTCTGTTTTTTCCCTTAGTGCTTCTTTCCAACATACGGTATACTTGTACTTATTTATTGTATTTATTATCTGTCTCTCCCTTTAGAAGGTAGCCATAAGGGCAAGGATTTCTATCTGCTTTTTTTTTTTTTTTTTTTTTTTTGCATTATGCGGGCCTCTCACTGTTGTGGCCTCTCCCATTGCGGAGCACAGGCCCCAGACGCGCAGGCTCAGCGGCCATGGCTCACGGGCCCAGCCGCTCCGCGGCATGTGGGATCTTCCCAGACCGGGGCACAAACCCACGTCCCCTGCATCGGCAGGCGGACTCTCAACCACTGCGCCACCAGGGAAGCCCTCTATCTGCTTTATTGCTGCTGTATATGAAATTCCTCATCTTGGGCCTGGCCCATAACAGGCTGCCCATCAGTCATTATGGAGATGAATGAGTGAGTCAGACATCGTGCTAAGTACTTACATGTCATCATTATCTCAGTTCATCCTCCCAACAGTCTGTGAATTAGGTACTATTATTATTCTCCTTTTACAGATGAGGAAACTGAGACTCAGAGAGGTTAAGTAACTTGCCCAAGGGGAGGGTTCAAACCCAGGTTTGTCTGACTCCAAGGCCCATGTGTTTAATCACTTTGCTTTACTACCTTCTTAAGAAAATACAAAAGGTACTTTTCTGTCTTCTTTCCCTCACTTTAAAATGTTTGTTAATAAAATAAGTATTTTGAATGTTTCTTTTTTAAGTCACAAAAGGAAAGCATTTATAGGATACACATTTGTCAGTTACTAGTGCTTTGTGTCAAGGTGAGTACTGAGGGGAAAGCAGCATTTGTGGTGATTCAGAACAATTGCTTCAAAAGCCAGTTCATAGGGTTCTTGGGATGCATAGAACAGGCAGCACACAGAATGGGCCGCTCGCTTTCTCCCTGGCTTCCCCTCTCCTTGTAAAGAAGCCGGCAGGTGGCTCCTTAGTGTTCTGCTACCCAGTGTCCTCCCAGTTTTGGACAGTACGGTCATTCTGAGCTTTTCTGCTCCATCCACAGAGGAGGTCTGATAGTTTATCTACCTAGAGCTGGAAAGGGACTGTCAGGGCTTACCCCAACCCTAAAATTTTCATTTTTGCTTTATTTTGTTTTGTTTTTTTTCCTTCAAGTGTCAGGTGTCTACTCTGATCCACCATGATGGTTCTATTGATTTTTTTTTTTTTTTTTTTGCGGTTCGCGGGCCTCTCTCTGTTGTGGCCTCTCCCGTTGCGGAGCACAGGCTCTGGACATGCAGGTTCAGCGGCCATGGCTCACGGGCCCAGCCGCTCTGCGGCCTGTGGGGTCTTCCCGGACCGGGGCACGAACTCGTGTCCCCTGCATCGGCAGGTGGACTCTCAACCACTGCGCCACCAGGGAAGCCCCCTATTGATTTTTTAAAAAAATATTTTTTAGAAATTTCATGAGAGTCTTACTTTTGTAATTAAAATTACATGTTTAGAAAAGTTTTCTTTTTGTGGCTACCTTGGGTGGACGGGAATACATGCTCTGACTTTACAGTGAAGAGTTTGGGACATGGTTTAATGCTAATAATTTCAGCTTGAATAATTCTTGGTCTTTTCTTTTCGTCTTCTTGTCAGATGTCTCTTTTTTCCCCCCATTCTTTTAAATTTTGAGATATAGTACCTATAGAAGAGTGTATAGTACTTACGTTGAGTACACGTAATTATAAATAATCATCTTTGTAACCATCACTTGGGACGAGAACTAGAACAGTGCCAACACCCCAGAGCCCCCTTGTGGCCCTCATGCTCCTCTCAACTCTAGAGTAGCCCCTATCGTGAAAGATGTTATAACCATTTCCTCCCTTTTCTTCATAGTTTACCACCTATATATGTAACCCTAATCAGTATATTTTAGGCTTTTAGTAAAATGTTCTCTGGAATTGATTAAAGTGTCACATTCTGTGATCTTTTTATATATATACATTTTTAAATTTGCATTAAACTTCATTTGAATACGTGAAATACTGTTGAAAACAAAGAAAAATATCTAAATGTAGAAAATGTAGCCTCTGTTACTGTTGTTTAAAATCATAGGGGTAAATTTTGATGAGGGAATACTGGTCCTTTACCTTTTCAAGTATCAGATGAACCTCCTTTCTTTCTCAGAAGTATTTTTTACCAAAGAGCAAAACAACAATATGTGGGCTTGAAAACTAGAAAACTGTATCTTAGGTTAGCTCTGCAGACTTCTGCAAAAACCCATCACTGATGGATAGATATGTGATAAAGCAAGTGTAGTAAACTGTTAATTGTAGAATCTAGGTAGTGGGCACATAGGTATTCACTGTATAATTCTGGTAACCTTTCTGTTAGCTTGAAAATTGTTATAACAGAATATTAGGAGGGTATCACAGAATAAGAAGCCGTCTGCTTAGACTCTGCTCTGGGAGAGTTTGATTATCTGAGTAAGCAGTCTGCTTTCTTCTGTTCATGGTATTCACGATTTATTTCTAAGATTTAAAATTTTAGCCGAGGATTTGGGTACCCTTAAATTTTTTTCTTCTTCACTTTCAGTTTTTCTTTAACATCAGCACTGAAGACCAAGAAGGCCTCTACAGTCTTTATTTTCATAAATGCCCTGGAAGTGAAGTACGGTCTAACGACAAGTTTTCATTCAGCCTCGATGTGAGTACCATACAGAAACTCACATGTGGGTGTTGTCAGCCGTGTAAAATGGGAGACAGGTATTTCTTTAGGAGAGTAGTTTTAAGAACACTTAAGCCAGAGTAAGAGAAACATGTGGCCAAAATAACATTTATGCCAGTGGGCAGGATACTTCAGCAGAGGGTTCATAAATAAGAAAATATAAAGCAATTTAGGGTGTGTTTACGCTCTCAGCCTATGCATTAAGAATGTGGTTGTTATCTGCTGGTACTCACTTTCTTGAACTTCCATGAAACAGCTAAGATTCCAGATTGCTGAATATGGGATGATCTGTTTCTGAAAAGTAAAAATTAATGTCATGTTGGTTTCAGATCGAGATCACAGAGAAGAATCCTGACAGCTACCTCTCAGCGGGAGAAATTCCTCTCCCCAAATTATACATTTCTATGGCCTTTTTCTTCTTGCTCTCTGGGACAATCTGGATTCACATCCTTCGAAAACGACGGTAAATTATCACCTCCTCGAGCCCTTCATCCAAGAGCGTTCGGGGATTTATATAATTTCACCTTTTGCTGTCTTCTGGACCTGGAGGACTTGGCACTGGCGATCCTGTTCTCTCCAAAGGGCATGTTCCCCGAAACAAAGGGAGACCGTGCAGGAGCCTTGCCGCCTGGGAGGCCTTTGCATGCCTTGGTGTTTGTTCACTTCCCATTGCTTTGTTTAAAAAGCAAATCCAAATATTTCAGTAATACACAAGCAAAATAAAATGTATAAGCAAAACATTTCCATAGCGAGGACACTGGAGTCCAGGACTCAGAGTGAACACATTGGTCCCATTCAGGGGCTCTTTGTTCTTAAGAGATGAGTGACGACAGCCCAGTGCCTGGTGGGAGCATGGAGTTGCTGCTGAGCGCTGAAGGCCCCAGCACAGAGCCTGGGCAGGGTAGATACTGACCTCCAGGGGATCATCACTCGAGAAAAGCTCTTCAGAGCCCACCTGCCTGACTCTTGGCCTTTCTTCTGAACTCCCTGAGGCTTTAACTTCCTGTTCTTGGTACTTGAGGGGAGCAACAGTGTGTGTGTGCAGGGAGTGTTTGTGTCCCTCCCCCTAAATGGAAAACAATACTAATTTTCAGTTAAAAAATAGTGTGAAGTGTTTGTTATAGTATAAGGCCCATGAACTGTGTAAATGATGGTATGTGAATATGGTATTATAATATGGATTTAAATTCATACAATAATTAAGCACCCCCAAGTACCAGATACCTCTTTCTCTGGAGCGGTGGGACAGAGTGAGATCTCTAACCTCTGGTGGCCAGATTGCCTTCTAGTGGACATGTTCAGCTCGGGTACTGGGCTCTGCTGGGTGTGGTTGCTGGTTCCTGTCTGTTATAAATCTTTTACATCCGCTGGATGGAACTGTGTCTTGTTTACTTGTGAAGAACCCTACATAATCATGTTTGGACTGGAGATCAGGCAGCCATTAATAAGAAAAAAAGAATCCTACAAATTCAGGCCATAAAAGGTGGTTGGGGGGCGGCGTTTGGTTTTTTGTTTGTTTGTTTGTTTGTTTGTTTGTTTGTTTTTGCGGTACGCGGGCCTCTCGCTGTTGTGGCCTCTCCCATTGCGGAGCACAGGCTCCGGAGGCGCAGGCTCAGCAGCCATGGCTCACGGGCCCAGCCACTCCGCGGCATGTGGGATCTTCCCGGACCAGGGCAGGAACCCGCGTCCCCTGCATCGGCAGGCAGACTCTCAACCACTGCGCCACCAGGGAAGCCCTGGTTTGTTTTTTTTTAAGAAAGTTTTGCTTTTGCCGTTATTAGAAAAGTAAGAACTAGGAGTCGGAGACCTGATTTCAGGTGTAAATGCTGTGACTCTTACTGCCTGTGTGCCTTCCTTCGCTCTAAGCCTCTTTCTCCTCGGCTACAGAACCGGGACAGTCATAACTGCCCTGCCTTCCCCTCAAAGTCTTAGATCCTTAGTTTTCTTATGTGATTCCCCCTGAAATGATGTGTACAAGAGTGTTTTGCAGATCAGGGTGCTATGCAAAGATGAGGGACATACAAAATAGTTTAGCCAGATGTTCAGTGGTATTTTAATTTCCTTTTAGTTAGCGATGCAACAGTCATTGTCGTTGGTTCACTTATATAAAATCGTGGCAGCAGTTTAAAACCTGTGATTAAACGAGGCTGACCTACTTTGTACAACGTATTTTAAACTTCTTGTTGAAGTATAGCTTATATACAGAAACGTATCATTTCAGCCCTCTGCCCCATCCCCGTGTTTTTTTTTTTTCTTTTTGCGGTATGCAGGCCTCCCACTGCCATGGCCTCTTCCTTTGCGGAGCACAGGCTCCAGACGCACAGGCCCAGCGGCCATGGCCCACGGGCCCAGCCGGTCCGCGGCACGTGGGATCCTCCCAGACTGGGGCACGAACCTGTGTCCCCTGCGTCAGCAGGCGGACTCCTAACCGCTGCGCCACCAGGGAAGCCCCCATCCCCGTGTTTTTCCAGGAGTCTCACAGCCAACCATGTGAGTCACGTCACAGATGTGACTCCAGGGCTGCCAGCGCATTTCAGAGACTTGTAGCCCCTTAGTGCTGGAGGGAACTGAGAGATTTTTTGCCTTGTCTATTGAGGCCTTGAGCGGGGAAGTGAGAGACATGGCTAGCATCCCCCGACAGAGCTGGCCCTGGGACCCAGAGTGGCTTGCTGTGCCTTTGTGGTTCTGTTGTGGGCCCCAGAGCACGGAGAAGTGGGAAGGGAACGCGGGCAGCTGATCGGTTTGGTACCTGCTCTCTGCCCAGCCAGGCACTGGATGTCATGGCTCCTTGAGGCCATTGTTGGCCCATTTTCAGCAGAGGTTTCTGAGGCCTAGAGAAATGAAGGTCGTCAGGGTGGAACCCGCATGTGAGCCAGGTCGATGTGGCTCCCGAGATCTTTCCTTCATTCACATAACGGCCCAGCCATCAATGCTGTAACTTGGACTGCGAGTCTTGGTGGCCAGGGTGTGTGGTGAGCACAGCCCTTGACGGTTCTGCTCTCTGGGTAAATCTCATTACTATTCAGGAGGGACAGACTACTCTGGCCTTGACTTCCCTTTCGACCTTCAAGTAGGTAGGCACTGGAGCAGGAAAGTACCAGGGAGGAAACCAGTCCGGAAACTGGGTGTGCGTCAGCTCACGACACGCCCTCCTTATCGTTCTGTGCAAGGCCCTCTCCTGTTTTATTTCCTGTCCCCTCTCCTGTTCCTTCCCCGCACGGCCAGCCACTCAGATGCGTTTAGTATGTGTTTTGGGGATATTTGTGTATTCTTGTAAACAAATAATGTTTATTGGTATTGAATGTATTTTTTTATATAAATTTATTTATTTAATTTATTTATTATTTTTGGCTGTGTTGGGTCTTCGTTGCAGCACATGGGCTTTCTCTAGTTGCACCGAGCAGGGGCTACTCTTTGTTGCAGTGCGCGGGCTTCTCATTGCGGTAGCTTCTCTCGTTGCAGAGCATAGGCTCTAGGCGTGCGGGCTTCAGTAGTTGTGGTGCACGGGCTTCAGTAGTTATGGCGCGCAGGCTCTAGAGCGCAGGCTCAGTAGTTGTGGCACACGGGCTTAGTTGCTCCGTGGTATGTGGGATCTTCCTGGACCTAGGGCTCGAACTCGCGTCCCCTGCATTGGCAGGCGGATTCTTAACCACTGTGCCACCAGGGAAGCCCTGCATGTATTTTTAATTTATATAAACTGTTCCATCTGTAGGTATTGTTTTTGTACATTTTTCACTCAGAATATCCTCTTTAAGATCTAGTCACATGGCTGCGTGCACATCCAGTTCATTACTGTCCAGCTACTCCATGTCATCCACAGTGAGCGTCCCCATTCCACTCACCCACCCCCTTAATGGTGGACCCCTAGGTTGTCTTCATTTCCCTGCTTCCCCATACTGTCATGATCCACCCTTCCTCCCTGTCCCCGGAGGGGTCTGCAGCCTCTGAAGTACATTCTCGGAAGCAGGTGCCCTGGGTGTCGGGGAGCTCTCCTTTAATTTCGCTAAGTGCCACCGGTTGCCCGCCAGGATGCGTGCCTGTGCCGGCTTATGCTCCTACGACACGTGTGCCAACACTGACACCTTATGTTTTGCCAGTGTGACGGGTATAAACTGGTACCTCATTTTCTTCTGCATTTCTCTGAATATCAGTGATATGAATTATCTTAGCAGAGACATGTTGACCTTCTGGCTTTTCCCTCTGTGGCTGCCTGTACTTGCATATTTTTCTGTGGGATTTTCTGTGTTTTTCTTGTTGCTTTGCATAAGTCCCTCACACATTCGGATCTCAATCCCTTGCATGTCTTAGACATTGCAAATTTCTTCTCCCAGTTGAATTGTTGAGTAAAAATCTTTCATACTAATGGAGTCACAGCTCTCTAATTTTAGTCTTCTGGGCAGTGCTCCTTGGATCTTAAGAGGCCCGTTCCTGCTCCAAGGTTACAAAATGTGTATTTTATGCTTAGCGGCAGACTCCACCTGGGTTGTAAGTAAGTGTGAAGCAGAGGTCCAGCTTTCCTTATTTCTTATATAGGTTTGAGCTGATTTTTTCCCAATGTCAGTCATTACGCAGGCTGTTCTTTTCCCACTGACTTGGTATCACCTTAACTATCAAGCTTCTGTACACACACGAATCTATTTATAAGCCTTCTGGTCTGTTATGTTGGTTTACTTGTCTGATGCGACACCCATTTCCCATTTTTTACTGCTGTGGCTTTGCAGAATGTCTTGATATCCGAGAGTGGGAGTCCCCACTGTAGCTCTTACTCAAGCCTTTGTTTGCTTTCTTTAATAGAGTTTAAGACTTTTCTCCATCATGGTTTTGTTTGTCTTATTAGGTTAATTCCTAGGATGAGGCGAGAAGGGGTAGAGAGGAGTTGAATGCCTGGCAGACTGAAGGTGGACTCGTGCCCGTAGGGGGAGGTGGGGCAGTGGGTGCTTTGCGCCACTGTCCTGGTGTGTATGGCAGGTTCCAGCTGTGAGGGGGAAGAGGGGGCACAACCCCAGCGCTTTCTCTTTGACCAACCCTGCTGCCTGGCTCCAAATCCTCCTCTCCTGGCTACAGATTTCCCCTGTAGCTGTACCTGATCACCTCTGCCTTCTTGGGGATTTCACGCCATTTTCATAGATCCGTCTGCCTCATTCTTGCCTCTGCGGGCTTTCCAAGGTGGTTTCTGGAGAAGAAGCTGGCAGCCTGTTTAGATTTCCATCTTATCAGGCCTGGAAACCCATTGTGCATAACTCGGCTCCATTCACAGCATTGAATTATATAGTAGAGGTGACTTGGGCTCCATTCCAGGCCTTTTCTGCTGGCAGCAACCACTTGTTTAAAAAGCTTTGTGTTTGTGGTTTGCTTAGATTATATTTACTGCCTCCTTATAAGTATATGATGCCTGGAGCTTCACCTGTTCTTTGGGAGTATGAAATATTCCTTTAATTCTTTTCTCTCTGTTTTTACATAGGAATGATGTATTTAAAATTCACTGGTTGATGGCCGCCCTTCCTTTCACCAAGTCTCTTTCCTTGGTGTTCCACGCAGTACGTATTAGTATTTTGGGGTCATTTACGAAATGATGTACAATGCCTATACTGTCTGGAAAAATAAAGTAGAAGACAGGACACATCAAATAAGAGATGAAAGAATACCTTTGTCATGAAGCCTCCTTTGGTCTGGGAGGGACTGGTCACGGAGATAAATCATCACAATCTCCCTAATACTAGACTTGAGATCTTCAGACGTTACCTTCAGACTCAGTTTTCTCAGAACACTTGGTGGTTTTTTTGGGGGTTTTTTTCCCAGTCATTTCTTGAGATTAGTGTGCCACCTGCTGAATTGTTTCCATGACTTCCTTTATTTTTCCAAATATTCCCTCCGGTTCCCGTTTGATATGAAGTTCAGTGTTAGGATACTTATTTGAGAGAAAACTGATGCTCTAAAGATTGAGGCATAAGAATTGAGCTTAAGCTTTGAATATTTAGTACTGATGCAGATTGAAATGAGCCTGCCCATGGGAGTCAGATCACAGCTTCCCTGATTTGTAGGCCTACGAGGTATCCATGGGTTATGCGTGAGGGTGACAGTCTCCAGACATGTGCACAAGATCCTACTGCACTTAAAAATATTGTCACAGAAAAAGTAATAATATAGCCAGTTACAATCTCAAGAAATGACAATTATTTGGATAATTTCCCATTTGGGTGTAAGGTAAAAGATTCTTTCTGGAACCATGTAGATAACGAATGATAAGATTCTCAAGTCACTTTCATATCTAGACAGCCACGTGTGGGAGAATGAAAGATGTATAAAGAAACTGATGTCAGCTTTGGGAGTCCTGCCTGGAAGCATATGGGCCACTACTGAAACTGGTCACTTTAGTTAAAATGCACTGGTGATTTCAGGTAGCTCTAAATTTACAGATTTTTTTCCAAAGATAACATAGTTGAAGCTAGGTGATCCCACGTAGATTTTTTTACTGACTTTACTGACTGATTTATTATGTAAGCAGCAAGGCTATGAAAGGTAAAGCTCTTGACTGGGGCATTGAAAAGACCTGTGGCATTTGGAGGTCTTTTTTTTAATTTGTTTTTTGGTGGTTTTATACGTCATTTTATTTTATTTTATTTTACCTGGGCTACGGCAGCGAAAACCTGGAATCCTAACCACCAGGGAACTCCCTTGGAGATATTAAAGAATAGGCATCCATTTGCCAGAGTGAATCACCTGCCTCAGGAGAGGGGCCCTGGGACTTCCCTGGTGGCCCAGTGCTTAAGACTCTGAGCTTCAAGTGCTGGGGGTGCAGGTTCGATCTCTGGTCGGGGACTAAGATCCCACATGCCGCGTGGCGCGGCCAGAAAGAGAGGGACCCAGACTAGGTGTTAGTGACGTGGAACCCTTGCGTCAAGTTCCTTGTCAGGACGCAGGTTTCCTGACATTTGTAGTGCGCTTACAGGCTTCACTGTGCATCAGCAAGCTCAGTATTACGGATTGGGAGCGGGTGTCCCCCGTCATGAGGGCACTGGTGGCATTTCCTGTTCTGCTGTGTGTAAGGCTTGTCGTAGATGATCTTCCTGAAATGCACTTGTTTGATTGCAGATCGACTACCACTATATCTCCTCCCAGGGCTTCCCGATCGAAGGGTGGGCTGTGGTGTACTACATCACTCACCTGTAAGTATGCAGAGTGACCAGGAAGCACCCATCCTGCCAGGTGGCTTGCCAGACAAGATGGGGCAGCCGTGGTAGGACGAGACCTGCCCCACGTTGACTGGCCCTGCCCTCGCAGGGCAGCCTGCCGGATTCCTGCCAGGCCTGAGGCGTGTGGCGTGCAGTGGCTGTCCCGACCTGAGAGCTCGGGGCTGTCGACGTGCTCCTGCCGATCAGATAGTGGGGCGCATAGCTAGCTAGCGTGTGCCTGAAAGTGCTCCTCACTTACGGTGAATTGCCTGAGTCTGGCCACCTGTCTTTTGCCGGCAGTGCGTGAAATCATAGAACGAGCTGTACACTCCAACTCCCAGAGTGAGATGCTAAAGAGACCCATTGGTGTCTGTTCATTTTTTTCCCTTGCAGCTTGAAAGGGGCCCTGCTGTTCATCACCATCGCACTCATTGGCACCGGCTGGGCTTTCATTAAGCACATCCTTTCTGATAAAGACAAAAAGATCTTCATGATTGTCATCCCGCTTCAGGTAAAGGAACCCTAGTCCTGCTTGTCCTCGTTCTCTCTTGACACTTAGCTGGGCTCAGCTCCAGGCCTGCCTGGGAAGAGGGAGTCACTTCTGGAAACCCCCGCTTCTGCCTCTGGGGTTGGAGACTGGGCCTCTCTTTCTGAATTCTGACAGACCTGGACCTCAGGTCATTGCACTGGGGGTTGCTCCACCATCTACTGTCTTTAAGCCAGCATGTGAATAGGGAGCTGCTGAGAAATTAGGGAATCTGTTTGCCTTGTAACAAGATGGTCCTGTTAGCAAAGAAGCTTGGGTACACGGTGACTCGACCAACAAATTTTTTTTCCCCCCGGCATGCCACATGACTTGTAGGATCTTAGTTCCTCACCCATGGCAGTGAAAGTGCAAAGTCCTAACCACTGGACCGCCAGGGAATTCCCAACAAATTATTTTAAAACTGAATGACATCAGTGAGTTTCCACACGGTAGAATATGAGACATTGGGGCAAACATTTATTAAATGCTTTATATGTTTGGGGCCCCGGACTGAGGCCAACTTTATAAAATTGTGAGCCCCTCAGGAGAGGAACCTTGTCTTACGTATAACAGTCTTATTGGATATAGAACCTGGACATAAGGGACGCATAATAAACAGAGAGGTCCTAGCAGAGATGCACAGCTCCTCAGCTCTGCTTGACCAGGGAGCTTCTATCTGATAAAGTTGTTCTCGTCAGCCAATCATTTTGGAGCACAGTGTAAGTGTGGCAGGTGAGGGTGGGAGAGGGACAACTTTCTGGGTACCCAGGTCGGCCTGCTCCACTCTGGTGATTAGCGGTTTGGCAATGCTTGTGGCAAAACCATCTTCACGGTCAATAATAAGGGGCACACACTAGTGCCAAGTGAATGGTACAGACCATTTGCTGTAGGTTTCCAACGAGAGAGTATTCACCCCAGTTCGAATGATCTGGAAGAGCTCTGTGGTGGAGATGAGCCTTGCCTAGGTTTTAAGGTAAGACACATGACGGAGGCAAACATGACACGACTGTCTGGTGTACAGGAGGTGCTGAGGCGCTGGGCAGGTCTCGGCTGTTGAGCCACTGGGGCCACTTCTCTGCCGGGCTGAGTTCTCCAGCCTGCCAAGGTCTCAGAGCTCGGAGGCGGTGGGCCGGGGTGCTCCTCCCCTGCCGTCCTGCCCCGCCTCGCCTTCCCTCTAGGAGCCGCTGCCTTCCCCTCCAGTTTGACTCTTCCTCACATAGCCTAAACTGTGATATAAGGGACACATCTTCCCAGCTTCCCCCCTTTTGTTCCCCACAAGGTTACGTGGCAGGTCACTCGGAGGAAAGAAGGCCATTTAAAAAACTAAATGTAAGGAAGTTACGAGTATTTAAATGTAAGGACTCGTCTGGGAAGTCCTTGAGCATCAGCCTTGAATAGTTGAAACTGTTTCCTTTTGGTCACGGGGAGCCACTGTGCATTTCTGAGTAGGGAGTGATGATGTAAAAATGGAGTTTCGAGAACATTATTGGCGCTTGGTTCCACACCAGCACCTCTGGGAACATTTCGTGTCTGGTGTCAAGAGTGTGAACTAAGGACAAAATGGGATTAAGCATTTAAGCTGTTAGTTTCCCACTTTGTCTTCATGGACAGAGCCACAAATGCAGATGTTTAGGATGGACTGGGCTGCAGGAGGAACCCAGAGGCTGGGTGTCGGTGGGAGACTGAAATTTCAAGCTAATTTTTGCATTTGTATTAAGTGAATTATGGCTTCAGTAATGATTTAACTGATAAGTCCTAGATGGAAAGAGAAACTACCCTTCCCAAGTCATTGCACGACAGGTTTCACATTTTTGTAGAAGTGTGGAGAATTCCCTTTAGAGTAGTGAAGCAGAGTATTTGGGACCATGGACTTCGCGTGGAGTACAGAGGTGGGATTCTGATCTCTGCTTTCATACCTAGTGATAATCTTCGAAAGAATATCTCATAAATTATGTCTCCCTTATGCTCAGTAGTGTCACAGTTTATAAAATATTGCTCTCTCTGTTTAGCCAGCTGAGGGACTTTTCATAACATGCTAAGAGCTTAATGACAGGACCGAATGTACAAGGCACGTCCTTCACTTTGGAGATTGAAGCAGGCCGTGGACGCAGACGCACCTCAGTGTGGAGAACCAAGCCGTGTCCACTGTCGGGACTCCTCGGGCATCTTCTCTCTCTCTGCCTGGGTTCTCCGGCAGGGCCGCTTCAGGGTAGCCAGACTTCTTATAAGACCGGAGCTCCAAAGGTGTGTGAGAGCCAGGCAGGGGCAGTGTCCTTTGTGTGACCTGCCTTGGAAGTGACATGTGTCAGTCATGGCCACCCTCTCTTGGTCAGAGCAGTCGCAAGCTCGAGGAGGCACGGAGACTACTTCTTGATTGGAGGGAAGCAATGTTCTGCAAGAGCACATGGACCTGGAAACCGTGCTGTGGTCCTAGGTTGGGGCCTCTAGGTCCTGGTGCCCCCCCCTCCCCACATCGGGGCTGCTCTTGTAAAGATCTGTCCATGCTTTGGGGCCTCAGCAACTTCTGTGTCCTGCAGGTCCTTGCAAACGTGGCCTATATCATCATAGAGTCCACCGAGGAGGGGACGACTGAGTATGGCTTGTGGAAGGATTCTCTGTTTCTGGTGGACCTGCTGTGCTGTGGAGCCATCCTCTTCCCGGTGGTATGGTGAGTGCCTGCGGGGAGGGAGGCCGCGTGTGCACCGTGGGCTTGTCTGTCCAGCCCGATGGCTGAACCCGCCGTTCCCAAACTGGTCAGAATCACACGGGGCATCTGTTTAAAAATGACAACTTCCTGGGCCCCAGACTCACCTGAATTAGTCTCCAGGGGCAGGACCTTGGAATTTGTATCTCTTTCAGGTTCCCGGGTAGATTGTGATAGCGCTCATCTGGCACAGGCTTTTAGCAGTTCAGACACTAGAGAAGATTCTTGAGATGAGAACTTAGTAGCAACATAAAATAGCAGAATGAATTTAAAGGGAAGGGAGTTGAAGAAAGCCCATACACAGCCTCATCTTGCCGGATTGGGTAGAAAGTGCGGAAGTTTACTAACATAAAACCAGAGATAGTTCTCAGCTCATAAACGTTGCAGGTACCTTCAGGATGGTTTGCTTCACTCCTGGAAGTGGCAGGCTTTAGATGCGTGTATGTGTCGTGCTTTGGTTGTGTGTGAAGACACGTTAGTGCCAAGTCAGTGGTTGATGAGAAAGAATGTCCTCCTGAGATCTCATCAAAGGGAAGGAAATTCTTGCTTCAATAGGAAGCACTGAGAGGAAGAAGGGCTAACAAAAGTCAGACACTCGCCTTCATAATGACCTAGTTCTGTGGCCACTTGAAAGCAATCAGTTCTTTTAGAATAAAGTTTAAAAATACAGATTTACCTGCCTTTTATTAGAAGTGAGGTGTTCCACTCTGCAGTGCCCCATGCAGTGAATTAATATTTTTAGACTCCTGGGGTCGATCAGGTCATTCAGTTATTCTGATTATTTAGAACATGGTGCCAGTGGAGTGTAATCCTCATTCGGGCCAGTTATTTAGATTCACTCTTAACCCTAACTCTGTCATGCATCGCACGTGTACATGCAGCAGTTCAGTAGATTGAGCAGACAGCTGCCAGCATAGGAGAGAGAGCACGAGTGAGTTTCTTAATCTCCACAACCTCCCCGCATCCTGCCCAGGCTTCTGTAACAGGATGGCCAGCATTGTCTTCAGGTAGAAAGAGCATCTTATTAGGGAATAGAGCCTCAGTCCCCACTGCCACATTTGCACAGTAACATAGGAAGGACCTGGGGGATTGGGGAAGCCCCAGATACACTCTGGAGCTACAAGTGGCCATCTCCTGCCCTTTGTTAATTACAGCACTAAGGAGCAGATGCCAGATGGCAAGATTCTTCAAGGTAAACACTCTGAAAATTGCTGTAAAATGAAAAAGTCAAGTACTAGAGAGGTAATTTAAGAAACAGTATCAAAGTTTTTTTTAAACATTCAGATTCAGCCAGCTTTGGTTCAGTGTCAGCTTTGTGCCACTTAATTTCACATGTTGCGGCATTCAGTTCTCACAGGTGGGCAAACTGCAGAGGTTTTAGGAGAAATGACTTACTTACAGTTGAGTAGAGAGTGGGCAGCTGTGCCAGGACTGCAGCCTGGGTCTGTGAGATCCCAACCCTCCTCCCCCTGTGCCATGTCTGCTTGTGCTGTGCCCTTCCTCCCACACAGTCCTTCCCTTGGTGCCTGTGAACTCTGCCTAGAACGCTGGTCTACAGCTTCTTTAAGAACGTTCACGTTCCCCTGTCTGACTGGTAATTAGTTACCAGCACCTCACAGCCAGAAAAGATTCCCTGGAGGTTGGCATTTTTTCAGCAAAGTTAGAAATCTCAGGTCGATGAAGTATCGAGTTTGCATGAAGCCTTGTGCTCGCAGCTCCTAGACCTAGACTTCAGAAGTCGGCCTGTGACCTTCTTATGGGGTCCATTCTCTCCAGGTAGCAGGTGAACTCATTGAGGCTCCGTTGTCCTAGCTGTGTTGCGGCGGGGGCGTGGCTGTGGGACTGAGAGATTAGGTAGAAGAAGATGAGGAGTGTTATTGTGTTTTGATCTTTCCCCTCACACCCAGGTCTCTGCCAGGCTTTTTTGAGCCAGCAGAGGGCATCTTTAACCCTCAGGCTTGGGCACCATACGTGCTGAAGGGTTGATTATCAACAGTCATGTTGTCTAGGGAGAGTGCTCTAAAATCATCTAGTCCAGCCTTTGAAGTTTATAATCGAGAAATTCAAGGCCTCAAGTTACTAGTGCTGAAAATAGAGGAATGCAAATTTGTTAGCTAACTTTTTTGTTCTCCAAATGTTTATTTTTAGGTCAATCAGACATTTACAAGAAGCATCAGCAACAGATGGAAAAGGCAAGTTCCTTTTGGTGCTGGACAGCATTCCCTAAAGCCACATGCCTGGGCACTGCTGAGGGTGGAGCAGGAAGGCCGGTGCTCAAGGGAGAGCCCTAGGGGCTTTGTAAGAGTAGCCCCGGGTTGTTTGCCGGTGAGGCAGGTGGGGAGCATTACTGAGAGCAGTTGTGTAAGGCCTGGAGGTGACTGCTTATCACCACTCGTGAGTGTGATCTTCACCTTCTCAGAACTGAGTCAGGAGGAGAAAATGTTGTCTTGGAAGGACCAGATAACACTTCGCTGTGAGAACAGGGGCTGTTATGGATTGGGAATGGCTATGTGTAAAGCATCCCTTCCTGCTGATTTAACACGCTTTCGAAATAGTTGTGTCAGTATTAATTCAAAAAGAGACTCATGCCAGAACGAACCTCTGAAGCTCTCTGATGTTTAAATGGTTTAAATGGTTGTGCCATTACAGCCCTTTTGCGTCTTCTTGATTTTCGAACCATGCCTCCTGAGTCTGAAAAGAAACCACAGAGAAAATGTTTTGCATTTCTGGGCTTATTTGAATAATGTCCATGACGACAGGCTGCCGTGGGCCACGTGGGGATTTCAGGCCACAGCTGGTTGAGGAGGCACGCTCTCTCAAAGGTCCCGTCTGCCTCTGGATCCATGAAATCCCACACCCAGTGCGTAGTAATGTTCTTTAAGCCAGATTATTCATTTGTTCTTGTTAAATAAAATTTTGTTGCTGACCTGTTTTCTGATTGTAAAAGTAATGTAGGTTCATTTTGGAAATTTTGGAAAATGGATAGTAGGCACAAAGCTTCCTTCACATTTGCTATACAGTTAATATCACATGATTTTCTTTAAATTGAATTAACCTGACTTCAAGCCTTCATACCAGTGTCAGGCACGATCCCAGCGTTCTTATTGAGAGCACAGTACTCGCTGGGGTATCTCCAGTTTGGGGTCCACAGTAGTTGCTGTCGGGATTCCTGCTGTCTGGGTCCGTGAAGTGCTCTTGCTGTGAGAAGCCTGGTGTGTGAGGGTCATGCCAGGCTGGGAGCCCTGGCACTCAGATTCCAGGCTCCCAAGGTGCCCCCAGCTTCCCAGGTGGCCATAAGGCCCCACTTGCAGAATGTGCCAACTCTCTTTCTAGTCCCAGGAAATAGCTTTTTTTTTCTCTCTCTCTCTCTCTTCCTTCAAAGGCCCTGGATTCCCTTCTCCCTCTGGAATGCCCTCTGGGATAGATTCTTTTTTACTTTTTTTTAAAATTTATTTATTATTTATTTTTGGCTGCGTTGGGTCTTCATTGCTGCACGCAGGCTTTCTCTAGTTGCGGCGAGCCGGGGCTACTCTTCGTTGCGGTGTGCGGGCTCTATTGCTGTGGCTTCTCTTATTGCGGAGCACAGGCTCTAGGCGCTGCGCCTTCAGTAGTTGTGGCTCATGGGCCCTAGAGCACAGGTTCAGTAGTTGTGGTGCACGAGCTTAGTTTCTCCACGGCATGTGGGATCTTCCCGGACCAGGGCTCGAACCCATGTCCCCTGCATTGGCAGGCGGATTCTTAACCACTGTGCCACCAGGGAACTCCTGGGATAGATTCTTTTCAGTGAGTTTAAGCTGGAACGTGGTCTGCAGAAATCTTTTGCTTTTAGCCTGGCTTTCTGAGTCACGGATCTCAGAGAGCCGTTCTGCCTTCTTGGAGTGTGGGGTAAAGGAAAGCTGCAAAAAATAAACCATGAATTCGAATCTTGATAAAGCACGCTGCCACAAACAGAAAGTAAAAACCCACCTTCTGGGAACTTATCGTTTGGGCATGTTCTTGCCTTTTTTTTTTTCCTTCTTCTATGCATGTTATATAAAAAGTTGGTTTTATTATTTCTGTAACTTAATGAATAGGTCTTTCTCTTATTTTAATATATTGAAATGAGACATTTTAACTTTTTCATCTTTTTACACTTCAGTAGTTCTGGGTTCATTTTACTGACTGTTTGACTGAAAATGTTCAAAAATCCCAAGGGTAACGTTTTCCAGTTGATAAGTTTTATCTGTACTTTTCTTTTTTTTATTAATTAGTTTATTTGGCTGCGTCAGGTCTTTGTTGCGGCGCATGGGTTTCTCTCTAGCTGTGGTGCGTGGGCTCCAGAGCACGCAGGCTCAGTAGTAGTGGTGTGCAGGCTTAGTTGTCCCACGGTAGTTGCGGCACATGGGCTCTCTAGTTGTGTCGTGCGGGCTCAGTAGTTGCGGTGTGAGGGCTTAGTTGCCCTGCAGCATATGAGATCTTAGTTCCCTGACCAGGGGTCGAACCCGCGTACGCTGCATTGGAAGGTGGATTCTTAACCACTGGACTGCCAGAGAAGTCCTATCTGTACTTTTCTTCTTGGCTTCATCCTTACCCCTTTGTGAATTCCTCTATTCCTTCCTCACCACTCCCTTCTCCTCTTCTCCATTGTTCTGATCCTCTGAGACCTCTCTGCCTTCTCCACTTTGCTTTTAGAGGGCTTGGGGGTGACTGTGGTAATTAACTGTCTCTGTGACCATTTATTCCATGAGACATTGATTGTTGTTTAGTAAAGTGTCCTGCCTGCGGTGGACAGCACAGCAAGTGAAGCCCAAGATGGGGGGGTCACAGTTGTCCCCCAGCATCTGTAGTAAAGAGAAACTTTATGGAACAGGAACGCTTTTGTCATCCCCTGGGGCATACAAGGCAGTTTCTTGTTTTTTCCACCAGGTGACAGCATGGGACCTCTTCAGCAGAGAGCGAATATGAAAACCGGAAGTCCTGCAGGCACACCAGGACTTTCGTTCCACCGTTCTCGGGGACATACCATTAAGAAAGCACCCATGTCTCGTCAGCAGATATCACAAGCCTCTGAAAGAGGGACAGAGTTGATTAGAATAGGGTGTCTTCTCCATTCGTCCTCTTTCACTGAACTGGTTTAGGCTGTGGGGTGCTTTGGAGCCAATCCACAAACGCATATTTCACTCTGAACTTGGAAGAGTGGTTATGCTTGTGACCCTTCCAGAAACAGGGCAGCCACGTCCCCACGTTTGAAGTCTCCCCTGCGGAGAACTCAGGGGCAGCACGCTGTGCTGGCACACCATCCTCGGGCACCTGCTCGGCTACCCCAGGACAGAGGTGAGGCGGCACGGGAGAGCTTGAGTGAGCGCACTGCCCACCGCCTGCTGGTCCTGGAATGTTGCGGGTGACCCTCTCTGCTCCTCAGTTCGCCCGGCGTGAGATCTAGATCCTGGAGGCAGCTGACAGAGCAGAGGCCGTGGGCAGTAAAGTCTCCTGCGGGATTTGGAAGCTTTTGGCCGGATGGAGCCTGACACTTTGGTTCTTCTTCTTAGTCTCATGATTCCACTGACTCATTACATGACCTTGACCGCGACTTGGGCTTAAGAATGTCAGTTTAAGTGCAGTCTAGGCTGACTGATTGCAGGTGGGGGAAAGGCTGTTTGTAGTTGTTCTCCCTGCACTTGGGATTCATATTGCTTTCTTTTCTTTTCTTTTTTTCTTTTTTCTTTTTTGATAGGTAAGAAGTGGATTTATTTAGAGAGAAACACACTCCACAGAGTGTGGGCCATCTCAGAAGGCGAGAGTGGCACCAGGGTACGGGGTTGTCAGTTTTTATAGGAGCGGATAATTTCATAGGTAATGAGTGGGAGGTGTGTTCCAGCTATCTGGGGGCAGGTAGCTTTCAAAGAATGTGGGTGTGGATTTGTTTACTTCTTTGTGTCTAGATTCCTTTCGACAGAAGCTGAGAAAGTATAAAGGAAAACATTAAGGGCGAAGCTGCCCACTGTCCTTAAGTCGTGTCTTTGTCTCTCCTGTCACACGTGGTGGCTTCTCTCAGGTGCTCTGTCATTTAGTGTCACTGCCGTGCCACATCCTCTGAGAGGAGGCTTCGTTGAGTCTTCACAGGCACGCCCAGCTCTGCTGCGCTGTGTTTTGCCTTCCAGGAGTCACTGGCTGTTTCTGCCTTTGAGCCTGCACCCTTGTTCCCTTCTCTTCCTCCAGTGTCATTACCTCAGAGGACTGGATTGGGGAGACACACCATACACCTAATTAACAATCTCTGCTTCTGAGCATCTTCTTTTTTCCCCTTTTGTTTCTGAGGAAATTTCAGCGGAAGCCTTCTTCGAAATTTTAGCTTTCACGTGAGCGTCAAAAGCACTTAAACAAATGGTGATTGGCTGGTTGAAGAGGGTATGGAGGAAAGGCTTCATTCCCAGCTGCCGCTGTGTTCTGAAAGTAGCTGTGGCCTTGAGAGGGCAGCCGTGCTCAGGAGGGTCCTCAGGATCAGAACTTCTTTCATAATAAGACTTTCGCAGCCTTCTTTGCTGTTGATGTTTGCACTGATGGTGCAGAAGCAGAGGTGGGTAAAACAGCTGGCGCCTTGGCATGATTCAGGACGGTGGCACCGAACTGTTAGTGGCCGCTGCATCCTTCATTACCATCTACTTCCTGGGGGTGAAAAAGGCTCACTGCACTTAAGAATGCCTTGATGAGTTAGGAGAAAGCACTACTGTTGTTCAGTCTGGACCCTTCGATGTTTGTCTTTACCATCCTGTGTGGAATGGGACGCACCCAGGAAGCACTTGTGCAGTGTCCCGGGCTGTGGTGGTCATCTTGAGGAAAAGCGTGTGTGCAGTTGTTTGAGTTGTGAGCCAAACTAGCTGCTTTCTCTCGGGACACAGTTTTTATTTGAAAGAATGATGACAGTCCAACTGTGTTTACTCAGACCTGGGCTTTTGACAAACATTTTCCTGAAAATGAACGAAGTGAATGTGTCACTTCGTGAAAACAATTTAAAATATTTGCTGTCAGTGATCGAATTTTCACTTGAAAGCACAGATTTTAATTTAGGAAAACTTATAATCTACCACTGTAAGCTTGACGGCTTCCCAGTTCTTAACAGACATCTGGTGTGAGCAGGGGTGATATTAAACAAATGTGACTTTAAAAATATTTTATGATACAAGTTTCAGTATTTCAGAGATCTGCTTAACTCAGTGAAACGATATTTTCTACCTGATCACTGCATGTTACGCAGTCATGCGTGAATAAAAGATCCATTCAGAGTCTAAGATGGACCAGTGGATTTTACTGTGACAGAGTGCGAAAGTTCATGCTACAGGGACTTACCTGGTGGTGGAGTGATTAAGAATCTGCCTGCCAGTGCAGGGGACACGGGTCCGATCCCTGGTCCACGAAGATCCCACGTGCCACGGAGCAACTAAGCCCGTGCGCAACAACTACCAAGCCTGCGCTCTGGAGCCGGCAAGCCACAACTGCTGAAGCCCACGTGCCACAACTACTGAGCCCACGTGCCGCAACTACTGAGCCCGTGTGCTGCAGCTGCTGAAGCCTGTGCACCTAGAGCCCATGCTCCACAGCAGGAGAGGCTACCGCAATGAGAAGCCCACGACCCTGCTCACCACAGCTAGAGAAAGCCCGTGTGCAGCAACGAAGACCCAACACAGCCAAAAATTAAAAAACAAATTTTTTTAAATTAAAAAAACCCAGTAATCTAAAAAAGAAAAGAAAGTTCATTGCTACAGTTTCAGATTCCCTGCCTCACCTATCTTTAAGAAGCTACCATTTGTCAAGCTTTAATGCAGAATCAAAGACGACTGTTCACAGTTCTCTGAGAAGGCCGACGTCTGATTAGGCCCTATTTTCTTTATAGACTTCAACCAAAACACTCCCTCACTCCAGATTTGAAGGCAGAAGCAGATACAAGAATCCAGTTGTGTTCTATTAAGCCAGACGTTACAGGAATTTACAAAAATGGAAAACAGTTTCACTCTTCTCATGAAATTTTTTTGAAAGTTATTTTTTAATAAGGAAAACATTGTTTATATTAACATGTAATGGATTATTTATTTTTGTTACTTTTAAATGAATTATTAAATGTTTTTGAAATTTGTTTCAATTTCTAACATGGTAAGTATTGGTAGACTCTACCCACATCAACACAAGCTCTTTGTGGTCCTCAGTAATTTTTTAAAAGTGTGAAGGGGTCCTGGGCTTCCCTGGTGGCGCAGTGGTTGAGAGTCCACCTGCCGATGCAGGGGACGCGGGTTCGTGCCCCGGTCTGGGAGGATCCCACATGCCGTGGAGTGGCTGGGCCCATGAGCCATGGCCGCTGAGCCTGCGCATCCGGAGCCTGTGCTCCGCAACGGGAGAGGCCACAACAGTGAGAGGCCCGCGTACCGCAAAAAAAAAAAAAAAAAGTGTGAAGGGGTCCTGACACTGAAAGTTTGAGAAACGTGTGTTAGGGACAAGGCTTCTTGAGTCTGGTGGTCAGGATGACCATGAAGGGGAGTGAAAAGCCTGCCTGGTTCTCTTCTCCTGTGCCTACTGAGCCCGTTTCAGACTTACTTGGCCAAATTCTATGACTATTTAAGATGTCTCTTCATTCTGGGCAACTCATGGGGGGGAAAATGTTTCATTTGGATGTATTCATATAAAGAGGCCTAATGAAAAACCCACTGATGAGAAAGGAAGAGAAATACCCCTGTCTGTTTTTATAGATAAAGCCTTATCGGAACACAGCTGTGCGGTGTGTATGCCTGTGGTTTGTGGCTGCTTTTGCGCTGAGGTGGCAGAGATCCCCGGCCCGCAAGGCCAGACGCCTACTCTCCAGGCCTGTATAGAAACAGTTTGCCGGCTCCTGGCTGTTGTACTGTTGTAGACATTTAAGAGATACCATTTTAAAAACCGTACCTACAGTGTAGTGCTGTTGACTGACTTCATTCTATACTGAGCACTTTGAAAACTATTAACCTCACATAGATGTAAGAAATCACTGCTTTTAAGTATTTGCCAAACTCCAACTTTTGTATCCAGAACTGTGTTCTTTGTTGTTTGATTGGAACAATAGCTTTTGCATCTTCATCTGCTCTGGTGTTTTACCTGACCTGTTTACTCTCATGGGAATTGGTACTTTTCTTTAACTAGCAAGATGGCTTTTCGCATGGATCTCCTCTGTTTACCAGCAGGGCTTTGGGTTGTACCCTTCCGCCTGGCCCATGTGAATAAGCACCTCTTCCTCAGTTCCTGGTTATAATTCCAGGTTTGTCCAAGTGGAAACTAAGGTAGCCCCAGATGCACTGATGCTCTAGGCACTGAGGACTGTGATTAGGTTAAACTTGGAGACTCAGGGTCAAAAGCCTGGAGGGGAAGAAGGAGGGCAGGAGAAGGGGGAGCCTCCCGGCTGCACATCTGGCGTGATTCCATCTCCTCGGCATGGGGCTGGGGCTGGAGGTGAGGGTTGAGGGCGGTGCTCTAGGACGGGGTGCGGCCTGGGCAAGGCTGATTTCCTCCAGAACTGCCTGCCGTCTGCTAGTGTCTGCCCCGCTGTGGAGTGTAGTCTGTTGGGCTCCTGGCTCTGGAGCGCTGTTTCCTGATGATAGGAGAGAAGAGGCAGAAGAAATGAGATTCCCTTTATCCGGTCCCTCAGAAGATGTTCATGCTTCCTTTTGTCCGTGGGTAGCTAGAGCATGTACTTGTAAATCCACCTCTGTGCCAGCAGTCTGACGCATACCACGGGAGCACTGTAACAGTCCTCGGCTCCAGAAGGGTGGAGTGTTAGGCAGACCACTTTCTCTCCGGCAGTGTGATAGAAGTACTCATAAAACCTCCTACCTCTCTTAAGGCACGAGGTGAGGGGGCATATGTCGAGCTCTCAGAAGGATTCTATCCTGTGCTCAGGGCCACTTCACTGAAGTGTGTGGCGACCCTCTGACTCTGATGTTCTTCCCATGGCATCCGGGAGTGCCTTACCCTGGCGTGTGCCACCAGGCACTTCAGGCGCGGGTAGGGGATGCATGGCCTTCAGCAAATTCTCAAACAAGTCTGTGACCCTAGGAAGGGTGAAAACCATAGCTAAGTAGACTGTCATGAAGAGAGAATGAGAGAAAAAAGTGTATTTTATGAGACTGGCTTAATACAGTAATTTTTAATTTTTAAAAAAATTTTATTTATTTTTGGCTGCGTTGGGTCTTCATTGCTGAGCGGGGGCTACTCTTCGCTGCAGTGCGCAGGCTTCTCACCGCGGTGTCTTCTCTTGTTGCAGAGCATGGGCTCTAGGCACGTGGGCTTCAGTAGTTGTGGCATGTGGGCTCAGTAGTTGTGGCTTGCGGGCTTAGTTGCTCTGCGGCATGTGGGATCTTCCTGGACCAGGGCTTGGACCCATGTCCCCTGCATTGGCAGGCGGATTCTTAAGCACTGAGCCACCAGGGAAGCCCAGTGATTTTTAATTTCTTTAAACACCAAAACCTTCTCATTACTTGCCCTCCGCAGATCACACAAAATTCCCTCAGTGTCGTGAACCTAATCACAGCTTCTAATCAACATTTTGAAGTAATCATTTAGCCAGTGATACCGCCCTGAGTTCATATAATCTACAACCAAAAGCAAAGGGGCCCGTCATGTCCTCAGACTGAGAACCAGCCTCATCATGGTCACATTACCAGTTTTTTATTAGGCCTTTAAAACATTGGGAACCTAACTGCCTGAGGGGTCCCTCCCTCGGCCACCCAGCGGGCCTGGTCAGTAATCTGGGTTGGCGGCCCACCTTGGCTCCGGGCGTGGTTCTCTGTCTAGGGGTGTCAGCACGCATTTGACTCTGAGAGTCTCGAGACAGACACAGTTGAAACCAGCTCTTCTCCATCACTGCAGTACTCAGGGAGGTCCGGTTCTCTTATTGAGAAGGTGCTGTCCGCTGTTAACCAGCTGTGTCTTTAAGCAGTGGGATGTCTGACTTGAATCTGTGCAGTGGGCGGCCCTGGGGCTGGGGGAGTCCCAGACACTCTATTCAGCTCAGCTCATTGTGGACTTCCAGAGACGGGACGTGATGGGAGGGGCTGCCAGGAGCCGAGTCTGAGATCAGCTTGGCCCTGAGGACCCCTCCTCTAGCGGGGCCTTTGGTGTGGTTCTGGAGTATAAGGGAAGCGAAAGGCAGAAATTTGCTTGACTTGACAGTGCAAGTCTTCATAGAATTACTTTCCTTGTGTGGGATGGCCATCAGCCGCTCTCTTGGGCCATTCTTGTTTCTTTCTTTTTATTAGTAATTTAAGATAAAATTTTGCTTACAGTAAGATGCACAGTCATTAACTGTTCAGTTCATGACTTTTGACCACTCCTGGGTCATTGATTTAAGTATATATTGGAAATGTATTTTGAACCACTTTTCACACAACCCTCAACAGTTTGAAGGTCAAAGAGTTTCCTTCTCTAAGTAGTTGTTCTTGTATTAGCACACCCTTCCCCGTACTTGCTGATACCTTCTCTGTGAGATGCGTTAGTGGAATCTCTTCTTAATGGAGGCCAGAGGGCACCCCATGAGCTGATCACTCCCCAGAAAGGACCCTTTCAGAACAGTGGGGTCCCAGGTCAGTGTGTGGCCTGGCTTTCAGGTCTGTGCTTGACCATGAACAGGGGAAGCAGCCCTGTCACCCGTACAGAGTGGGCCTGAGCCCGATGCTGAAGCAGGTTGTGGAAATGGTACTACTGAGAGTGAGTCAGAGTGAGTCTCCTGCCGTCCAGGCTTTGCCGTCACACTCATTTCTTTAATTTTTGTGCTTGACTCAAAATTCCCTCTGAAGCGTGGCAGGGAGGAAGCAGGAGAAAAAGGTGATGGGTAGGTGAGGGTGTTTTTAAGCCCCGAGGCTTTCCTTACTCCCGGGGAAGGATTTTCACCCTTTAAGTTGGCTGTCGTGGGCCTTTGCCTCTGTGTGTCCCATGGACCATCCAGTATTGACTCCTCAGTACTGGATTGCTGGCAGCTCCTGGGCATTGCCCACACTCTGAGCCACCATCACATCCCTGAGCTGCCAGTGGATTACAAAGCTATGAATTGCTTTTCTCTTAGCACAAAGTGTAGGTGTTAAAAGCTTGGTCCTTGGAGGGAGGGACTTGGGTTTGAGCACTGGCCTCCCCACTTACAAGCTATGTGACCTTGGTAATTTACAAAACTTCTTCAGGCCTGAGTCCTTCATCTGTGAGGCAGTGGTAACAATGCCTCTTCCCTCATAGAGGATGTTGTGAGGATTACATGAGATGAAGCATGAGGGGTGCCCAGGCAGATGCCTGGTGCGTGGTTACCACTCAATAGATGTGACCACCAGCACTATTGTTCTTTTCATTGTCACAGTTCCGAGACCACCCAGGGAAGACCACTGGGGAGGAAGGGGACGACCTGCCTTCTTGCCAGCCTGTTTA